ATATAGTTGTTATAAAAGTTTTTCACTATTTGGAATTAACATTTGATTTAACGTGCAATTCTTGTATGACTAAATAAAAGAGGAAATTGCACATACAGATATTTCAACTTCACTGTTCAAAAGTTAGGTGTCTAGATTTTTTTAATCAGAATTCGGGTATTTTGTTAATAATTGAATATTACAAGATTTTTTGTTATTTGGCGATAATTAAATTGCGAAGGAAAAAATATGTACCTTCCCAAGTGTAATTTTTTGTCAAAAATTAAAGACCCAACAAGTGCAACGACTGCAAGCATTAGAGAATAAAAAAAGTGACACAAAGAGTGGTCCTCTCATTTGAACGCAGCACATGAGGCATACCCAAATTAGTCCTGAAATCACAATTCCCTACACGTATAGGCACTTAATAAGATAATGCAAAAATTAATTTACTAAAAACGCAAATTTGTTCTAGCTAGTAGATGCCTAGAAGTATACTCTTTGATCAATAGCATTTTGATGAAGATCAAATTAAGAGAGTTATTACTTTCGACGATTGAACTTGACTTTTTTTTGTTCAGATTGGAACTGATAGGTTTTTAATGTAGTACGGGTGCATGAGCCAATCTTGCACAATAGTACATAATTAGTCATATTCAAATGCACATTGGTAGAGTGTACGATAGTCGATATATTGTGTACCGAAGTTATTTATATCATACATACTATGTATGTTGCATTGAGAAGTCTAAGTCTCAGCCCAGCTTTCATTGGTTCTAGTCTCTTTCTATTGAAAGAGCATATAAAAAAGCTCGAATCGTCCCCATTATTGATACGAAAACAATACTAGAAAAATGACAAAAATATACCTTACTCATTTTGGCATGTTGTCATCCCAAAAGAATGTCCTAAGTTTCATAACAAAATTTAAATTATTATTCTTAATAATTTATAAGTATTTTGTAAGGTTTACTTGAAGAATAAAAAAAAAATGCAACAGAGACACAACTAGCGAGTGCGAACAAAGGACCCAATACCTAATTTATGGGCATTTTGTGGGATGCTGTCACGTGTCCAATCCGATTTTTGTTATTTTTTAGAAGGTCTAAATGGGTTGATCATTTATTAATTTCGCACCCCTTGTAAAAAATCAGAGGCATTACCCCTCCTATGCTCAAGAATGTTCCCCCTACTTTTGCTTTGCCTATCTTTGTGTTTAAGCCTAATTTCTCCAGCATAATTACAATCATACACACAATTTTTCAATTGTAATTTACATAACAAAGAAAAAAAATTCTAAATTTGTATCAATAAAAAAATATAAAATATTATTATAATTAATATTCAATATTATTATTTACCAACACACCTGAAAAGTATCGTGAGAATGATATGTTGTGGCGAGAACGATATTGGCCATCGATTTTGCTAGTAGTACATCGAGGTGTACCTAGTAGTGTACACCCCACTCACATGGATGAGGGACCCACTCGAATAAAATATCATTTCTTTCACATGGGTCCCACACCCATGTGAGTGTGGTGTACACCATTCGATACACCACATTATGTACTACTAGACAAATTCATTGGCCATAGCTGTAACGAACGTGGTTGAGGTTAAAGCTATGCTCTCTGCGTATAGATTTTGGTTCATTTATCCCCTACAGTTTAATGGAAGATTAATGTAGATTATAATGATAATACAATATATGAAATAATTAACATAATTTAATAGCATGACAAAGACATTTGACAACCAACGAAAATCTAAGAAGCACCGACACAAACATGGGTGCACCGACAGGAATACGAGTGGTCGACACGATACGTGTCGAACACATTGACACGTGTTGGATATGTAGACGCTAGTTTTCAAAAAATGTATAGGTTCTCCACACGATGCTTAGATGTTGTTTTGAGGAGGTTTATGTATGTGTGCCAAATGTTTATGTTTGGACCTCTGTAAAATGTGAGGAGCATCACTCCACCTAAGCATGTTAGGGTCCTCATCACCTTTGCTATACCAGCTTTAGTATTCAATCCCAATTTCTCTAGCTTGAATAATATATTTACTTAAATTCTGATCAGAAAATTTCGTTCATTTTGATAAGAAAGTGCATAAGTATATTTATCTCAAGATTACGGCTATAACAGATGTAATGGCAGGAATAAGATTGATCATTGCTAAAGCAAGAGTTGCAGAAGTCATTGCCATGCTTTTTAAGTAAAGATTTTGCCCGAGTGATCCCTTGCATATGAAAAGTGTATTGATTATTGCTTTAAATATTAAATAAAGTCCGTTATTATGGTCCAAGAATTACTTTCACTGAAATCGGGAATTTTTTTAATCTTCCCACAAAGATTATATTATCCAAAATTAGAGTCCATGGCTTCCAACCCCACCAAAGAAGAACAAAATTGAATTACATTGCCTCAAGATTCATATTTAGAAAAAATTCCTATATATGCATTTTAGCTTTAGATTTTCAAAATTTTTGTGGGACCATAAACCCTAGATGTGTAGGATCGAAAACAATATGTTACAAATGAAAACAAAATACATTTACATTGAATACAAAGTACCTAAATAAAAGAAGAAAAGAAGACTTGGACAAATTTTAATACTCTGAAAATCAAAACAAAGATTCATTAGAACCTTTCGATGATCAACATAACGGGAACCATAAAAGCAGCACCAAACATAAATTGTAGCCCACCAAAATAAGCAAGTTCATTCCATCGTTGGATGCCAATTTATATACTATATTGACTCCAGTAAATATAGTTTGCACCACTGCCATCAGTAATGTTGCCTTCAATCCCGTGTATCAAGTTGCATATCTTCGCCCATTCATTCATATTTTTTCGGTCAAACCCCAAACCAACTAAAACCCCTTGAGAAATAAAGGATTTTTCAATCAAAATTCCAACCCAAAGATGTAAATAAATTTACCAAGAAGTAACTTAAAAACCCTTTGAGAGATTTGAGGATTTTTCATTCAAACTCCCATCCCAGAAATATAAATTTTAAATCTACCATGAAGAAACATATAGAGGATTTTTCAATCAAACTCCATACCACAAAAGCAGATAAATCTACCAAGAACAAAATATAAAAATCTAGAGAGAAACAAATATAAATTCAAAATTTCTCAGTTCTTGCTTGGGAATAGGAGAAGATCAAACGAGATTGAAATGGATAAAAGAACCCGAAGTTCACAACGTACCTGCACTTACATATCAATACCCACATAACAGTGACTTGGTGATAGTTAATCCTGAATCTTGAACAATCCAAATTCTTAGGAAACGTGGACTCTAGTTCACATTTCTTACGTTTGCGCACGTGTAACATTAAGTTACGCTCTTTAATTTGGTTTTTAGAACATGTAATTCACCACATTTTCTCAAAATGGTTTGTCTTCTTCCTATTTAATTGCAATATGAACGAGTTATTGACCTCATATGCCTTTTATTTTTATTTATACCTTCTTAGAATAAAACTTAAGTGTTATTGCAATACTAATTTAGGTGACTGTAGACTCTACTGATTTATTGTCACTTGAGTCAAATTAAATTTTCAAAATACATCCCAACACTACATTGGTAGTTGAGTATCACCCGTGACGCATGTAAGAATTATGCTACAGTGACATAATTATTGCACTTCATTATTGGACTGTTTTAAGCATTGCCAGTTTTTTCATCATATCGCATCTTGCCAATTAACATTATGTCACTCCATCTGTTAATCACTTTTCTATCGAAGTGGCATAACCCTGCATATAATTATTTAGACATTGCTACATGTACATCAAGGTTTACATAAGTGGTTACATAATATCCACATGACACTTTATCATTTGTCCGTTTAAAACACAACCAATTTTTTATCAAATTTTTTCCATTAACTTCATGATTTCATTATAGGATTTATGCATTTTTAGAGAGAGAGAGAGAGAGAGAAAGAAATAATAATTTGGAAGAAGCAAGAGTAGTCATTATAGATAAACAAGAAATAAAATCAATACAAAGTCCTTGGAAATATGTTTGGTAGAAAGAAATATAAGAAAATTAATTATTATATCCCAGTTGTCTCAATTTATTAATTAAATATATTAAAGTCTTATATTCTTGTTGTCACAATTAATTTGGTATATAATTATACATGTAATGTCTAATTATATTCGCCTTTTAATTATTTTTCATTTTAAAAATTAGGGTTAATTGTGCTCTTTCTTGAGTTTGTGCAATCACTAGTCAAACCTTAAAAAAAAACATTTTAAACGTGGACTAGGAAATCCTCGAGAAATTTTTCCAATAATTTAAAAATGGTAAATATTAGTTTCAATTAAATTGCACACTAAAAATAAATGTAAAAAGAGGTATAATTTACAGCTAAATACATTTATTGGATTGATAACAAAATGCAACTTTACAAAATTAAAAGAATAATTTACACATCACGCTTTTAATATAACGTGATCAGTTTAATCAATCACCATAAAATCGTGTATTCATCTTGTTAAGAGAAAACGTGTTCAAAATTAATGTGTTGAATATAAATTTGATATTTTCAAAAAAATTAATATCGATGGAATTAATGCTCAGCTCGATTAAAACCTCACACTTTCTTGATGCCAAGTTAACTTTTCTTACAATTCAGCAGGTATCTCAATAATTTTAGTAATAATTCGTAAGCTTGGCAGAAACAATAAATTAATCAAACTTCGAGTAAAATGTTTAATTAACCATCGATAGATTAATATTCCAAGATATTTATGGTTAATATTTCTTATTTTTTCCTTAGTAATATGATTCGTTTTTGACCTTTCTTTTTCCAATTCCAATCATCTGACAAGATAATGATTTAAATATAGAAGTTTTGCATTGGAGAAGAAAATTGCTGTTTACCAGTTATTTTCCTTAAATTTTTCTCTGCCATATATAAAATATTGGAGCTTTTTCTACAAATTTTAAGTACTATATATAATCTCAAAAATTTCTCACAATCAACAAAACTTTCAACCATCTCTCTCAAAAATAAAAATAAAAATAAAAAAATAATTCCATAAGAGAGAGAAGGTTGTTCTTTTTTGAGAGATCCAAGAAATATGGGTGCTTGTGCTAGTGTACCCAAGGCAATGAAGGATGAAGCCACCGCTAAACCACTCCCGGAACAACCCAAGGAAGAAAAAACCGCCACCGAGGTTGTGGCGGAGAAATCTGAGAAGGTAGACGCCAAGGTGGAAGAACCGGCCGAAAAGAAACCGGATGGCGTTGATGAGAAGAAAGAAGAAAAAAATGATCTCAAGGTGGTAGAGAAAGAGGTTAGGTTTCTTCTTGATTAGCGTAATTTTTTTCTTATATATTTTTTCAAGAAAATTTTTTGATGAAATTTAATAATTAAAATTAATTTCTAATTTTGCAGAGTGAGGCACCTAAAGAAGAGTCTAAAGAGGAGATCAGCCAATCCAACGTAGTAGAAAAAGAAAATGCCAAAGTTGAGGTGATTTCGGCTTCGGACACTGTGACGTCTAAGCCAGAAAAGAAAGAAGAAACTACTGAAAATCAGAAAAAATCTGAAATTGTCGAGGAAAAGAAGTGATGACTTTAGAACATGGTTTTCCGTTAGCTGATTTCTTAGGGAAACTTAATTCTTTTTTAATGTTTTAAGCGAATGATTGTTGATGTTACAAGATGTTTGTACGTATGATATTTGATTGGTCTATTTTTAAATTTTAATTCATTTTTCTTGTCCTTCCAAAGTTTGATTAAATTAGATGATAATAGGCAATTAAAACCGCATGAAATATCTATGTTATATCCGTTATTTAAACGTGTCTAAGAACTATAATAAGTGGAAAATAAGCAATATTTCTCCATCAATTTAGACTGAATAATCGAGATTGACATGTTGAAATGCTTATAATTTTTGAAGTGATGTTATTACGTTAATCTATCATTTATTCAAGGTGAAGAATTTCATTTAGATGGAGAGTATTTTTATTTTTAAAATTTTAAGATATAAAAATTTTGTTTTTCTTTTATTCCACGAGAATACCTGTCTTAATTTGTTTTCAGGATTAACTGTCACTCTTATGTGGGTACTGATATGTAAATGCAGGTATGTTGTGAACTTTGGGTTCTTTTATCCATTTCAATCTCGATTGATCTTTTCCCATTTTCCAAGCAAGAACTCAGAAATTCTGCATTTATATTTGTTTCTCTCCAGATTTTTTTTATTTTTTTCTTGGTAGATTTATCTGCTTTTGTGGTATGGAGTTTGACTGAAAAATCCTCTATATGTTTCTTCATGGTAGATTTAAAATTTATATTTCTGGGATGGGAGTTTGAATGAAAAATCCTCAAATCTCTCAAAGGGTTTTTAAGTTACTTCTTGGTAAATTTATTTACATTTTTGTGGGTTGGGAATTTTGATTGAAAAATCCTTTATTTCTCAAGGGGTTTTAGTTGGATTTGGGGTTTGACTGAAAAAATATGAATGAATGGGGAAAGATATGCAACATGATACACGGGATTGAAGGCAACATTACTGATGGCGGTGGTGCAAACTCTATTTACTGGAGTCAATATAGTATATAAATTGGCATCCAACGATGGAATGAACTTGCCTATTTTGGTGGGCTACAAATTTATGTTTGGTGCTGCTTTTATGGTTCCCGTTATATTGATCATCAAAAGGTTCTAATGAATCTTTGTTTTGATTTTTAGAGTATTAAAATTTGTCCAAGTCTTCTTTTCTTCTTTTATTTAAGTACTTTGTATTCAATGTAAATGTATTTTGTTTTCATTTGTAACATATTGTTTTCTATCCTACACATCAAGGGTTTATGATACCACCAAAAATTTGAAAATCAAAGCTAAAATGCATATATAGGATTTTCTTCTAAATATGAATCTTGAATTTTTCTTCACATTTCAGGAAAAAATTGATTTATAGGGTTTATAAATCCTACGAAAAAATTGAAAATCTAAAACTATAATGCATACACACTAATTTATTCTAAATCTGAATCTTGAAATTTTCTTAATCTTTCAGGAAAAAGAGGCCTAAGTTAACAAGGATGGCAATCTTCCAAGGATTTCTTTGTGGATTGTTCACATACGTTGTAAAATTTTCCTATTGTATTTGGATAAGGTTTTCTAGAGACAAACTCTTCTTGGAAAAGGCAAATGTTGAACAATCCACTATAGGACCTCTCTTCACCTAGTGTGTGAAAATATAGTTGAAATTTATCGGCCTAAATATTTGCCTTCTCAATTGCTTTATGTGATAGAAGTGTTGTAATTTATACATTTGCCGAGCATTGAGTAAAATATGAAATTCTTAAGTACATTTGCTTTCCATGGCACACTTAAGATGTACAATAGTTTTGGACGTTCTTTATGATAAACTTCTTTAGCCAGTTGAAAATTCATTATATATCCTGTAAAATTTTGAGTATATTGCACTTCTATTGAAATAATTCATTACTAGTTTGTAAATTGATATTAATTTATACAGAAGTAGTACTTATTTGAGAATGGTTGATATCAATAATATTGGTTAGTCTTTTTAGGATTGAAATATGGTCTTGATTGGTTATATCCGTATATATTCGAAGCTGAAATATGCACTTCACCCACATTAACTTGATAAGTGTATTTTATACACTTTTCGAGGCTTTAAAACAATTATATTTAGTGTTTCTCTGATAAATCATGGTCTAAATTGTTTCAATTGGTGATGAATAGGTAGAAGTCAATATTGGTACAAGAAAGTGGAAGAAACGAGAAGAAAACCCGAAAAAAGAGTGAAATGCAAAAATTTGGGGCCAAGTTGTAACAATTCAATAGTTCATCCGAACAATGAATCGAAGACTGAAGAATTTGGAGATCAAATTTCATATTTTGGAAAGTGAAGGACTTGAATTGAATCAAAGAAAACATGGGTTACAAGAATAAAAGGACTCAAGGATTGAACTACATTATCTTGAAAGACAAAGGACTTGAAGAATAATTTAAGTATTAATGGCTTCAATTGGTAACTGATTGGACCTCTTGAGACACGCGTGTATGAATTAAAGTCCTTTTTAAAGTGAAATTTAGGGTTGCTAAGTTGGGGAGAATATATGTACGTGTTGCTGGCTGAAATTTGAGGGGGGGGGGGGGGGGGGGGGGGATAGAGAGACATTAAAAAGGGGCGGCCACCTTTATTATAAAGAAAGATATGCATGGAAATTGAGGGGGATACCATACTATATTTTATACACAATTTGGAGGCTAGGATAGAGAGAAAAACACAGTATTGCGGCTGAAATTGGAGAAAAAACAGAAGCTGGAAACGGAAGGCAGCTTTGAAGAGTCAGACATTGAAGCGAAATTAATCATACATACACACGTTGTCGCCTGCCATTAATAGGGGGAGATTTACGCAGAAGCCAAGAGTTGTAAAAAAAGGCAAAGGTACGCGAAGGGGAAAAAGATGGCAGAATCAATTTGAAAATTTAATTACGTTCCTTCAATTCCCGGTGATGTCTTCCACAATTCCTTGTTTTTCTTCTATCACTATGCGTAGATAAATTTAAATTTTAGGGCGAACAATGTAATTGATTTGGGATCTTTATTTTTTTTATTTGAGTTCTTGTTCTTTTATATTTTATGCGTGAATTTTAATCATGTTTTCAATACTTTGAATTTTTTGACCAATTATTCAATTATTTCGTGAACAATAATTACCTAGAGATACGGATTTTTTGTTTAGACCACATATTAAAATTCGGTAAATTAATATGACATGTAGAGATACCTATATTAATTACTGCGGTCATAAATTAATTCTTAGAACTATTATTTCGTTCAACTAAGTTTGATTTGCATAGAGATATGGAATTCAAGTTGTTAAATAGGTTCAATGCGAACTTGAGAGTGGTAAATTGAATACAATAGGAGAATTCGACCGAATACTACCTTAGATTTTATGAATCTCAATTTAAAACCTAAAGGTGATCAATAGGTGAAATTGTTCCACCCTAATATCCATTATTATTTCATTCTCAATCATTCTTTGTATGTATCTACGTATTGTTAGGTAGTTAGATTCAAGGTCATAACCAATCATTGTTCTTATATATTTTCATCAAATATAAGTTAGAAATAATAAATTGAGTATTAAAATATAGTCCTCGTGAGAAACTATAATTTGGACTCAAAAGGTCCAATTTACTACTTGTTATGGTTTGTACACTTGAGAGATATAAAATCGACAACAAACATTACCCAATTAAAAATTATATAGGTTTTTTGTGATTGACAGAAGATAAATGGGAGGATATTACTCAAGAGGGTTTTAGAACTTAATTCCTATAGGGGCTACTTACAAATTTATGTCTCCTATTGGTACTTCTAGAGGTCAATTCTATTCAATGGTGGACATATTGGCCCTAGATAGTTCATTCGTATATATTATAGACGTGTACAAGAATTTCCTATGGATTTTCGTACCTAGAACCTTCAACAAATACCTATCATTTTTCCATACATAAAATATTCTAGAATGTTGTCCCATGCAATTTTTTTTTCCACATTGGCTTACAACATTCTAAAACTCCTCTTCATAGCCTCCCCAATATAGTTCAAAACTTATGCTGTTCAAGTTGGCTCTGTAATTGGATTGCCTTTTGGTCTTGCAACTACAAGTGTTTCTCTCAGTCTCACAATTTTAGCCAGTGAAAGTTTTGAAATTTTGTGAGACATAACAAACTAATATTCAATTTCAGGTTTTAAAATTGAATCATCTATAATCTTGAGGCAATGTAATTCAATTTTGTTCTTCTTTGGTGGTGTTGGAAGCCATGGACTCTAATTTTGGATAATATAATCTTTGTGCGAAGATTAAAAAAATTCCCTATTTCAGTGAAAGTAATTCTTAGACCATGATGACGGACTTTATTTAATAGTTTGGAGCAATAATCAATACACCTTTCATATGCAAGGGATCACTCAAGCAAAATCTTTACTTAAAAAGCATGGCAATGACTTTTGCAACTTTTGCTTCAGCGATGAACAATCTTATTCCTGTCATTACATTTGTTATAGTCGTAATCTTTAGGTAAATATACTTATGCACTTTCTTATGAAAATGATCGAAAATTTTCTGATCAAAATTTAAATAAACATATTATTCATGCTAGAGAAATTGGGATTGAATACAAAAGTTGGTATAGCAAAGGTGATGGGTACCCTAACCTGCTTAGGTCGTGTGGTGCTCCTCACATTTTACAGAGGTCCAAACATAAACATTTGGCACACATACATAAACCTTCTCAAGACAACTTCTAAACATTGTGTGACAAACCTATACAAAATCACTACAGTGGGTCTAATCTTGTATTTGATGGGGACCATATCGTATACAAAGCCACCACAATGAATCCTATACAAAGCCACCACGTCATAACCATCAGCCAACAACAAAAATTCAAAACTTGCAACCACTTCCATCCTCGTCATCGCCAACACAAATATCACCACACCACACCACACCACAAACACCACCCAACCGAAAATCCCAAACCCACCACCACTTTTATCCCCGTCGTTGCCAACACCACCACAGAATTCGCCACCACATCATACCACCACCACCGTCATCAGATCGCACTAATGGAGAGACAAATGTAGAGTATAACAAGAGAGAGAGAGAGAGAGAGATCGAACCACAGAAACAATACGCACTGCATCA